GTGGAGCGTTTTACGTATCTTGGAAGTTGTATTGGTTCTGATTGTAGTGTGACAGATGAGGTGAATGCACGAATCTGCAAGGCTCGGGCCGCGTTTGCTAACTTGAGACACCTATGGCGTCAGAATGGTTTATCCCTGAATCTGAAGGGACGTGTGTATCAAGCTACAGTACGGGCTGTTTTGTCGTATGGCTGTGAGACTTGGCCTACTCGAGCAGCGGACCTGGGACGTCTTCAGGTGTTCGACAATCGTTGTCTCAGAACCATAGCTGGTGTGGGTTGGTGTCGGCAAATCCACAAGGAGGCAGTTAGGAAGCGAGTTTTCGGTTGTGCAACGGGTACTTCCATTGAAGAATGTGTCCAGCACCAGAAGCTGCTTTGGTCGGGACATGTGTTGCGTATGCCGAACCATCGTTTGCCGAAGAGAGTGCTGTTTTCCATGCCCAATCCAGAGTGGTGTAAACAGAGAGGTGGCCAACCCATGACCTGGCAGAGGAGTATGAAGGAGATGACGAAACGCTTGGGTGCTTTTGGTGCTACTCGCCTTCCAGGATGGGGACCGCGTGATCCTCACTGTGCCTGGTTGGAGACACTACAAGATGTGGCTGCCAACCGATGTCAGTGGCGTTCTTGTTGCCAGTTCGTATCCAGACTGCCTGAGTGAATGTCTGGAGGTGTAGGCACCTCGGAATAATTGTGTTAAGTTAGCAGTGAGTCCATTCCGTGCCCACCATTACTCTTTTCTTTTCAATAAGGCTTTCAAATAAATGGATGTAAGGCAGTGAAGCATCGGTGTTGAACACTGATGTCATGCTGTCGGTGATGATGATGATGATGAATGAATACATTTGAATTGTCTACACCCACTGCTGCGATCGCCGGAGGAAAATCGGCTAAGTCTTCTTCTCGTCACCTCTCGTTTACCAGAATCAGCAGTCGGCAGCAATCTTGCTTAAAAGGCCTGCCTTTTTTGGAGATATTATTTTCATAATTGTCAAAACGCGATTCCACCGTCACCAGAAATTTTGTTCGAATAGCTTTTGAGTATTTTTCCAAGCGCTGATCGGCTAACTAGAGTTAGAAATCACATACAGCGTTTTCCGTTTAATGTAGTGGATGTAGACCACCCAGGTACTAACTCTTTAGGGCTTTGCGCGAACGTAGTAATGTAATTTTTCTTGGAGTGCATGTACGGAATACGCTCACAAAACTCCCTCGACCCTTGATCTCAGGTTTTATTACACCGCTATTTTTTCAGGTTGGAAATCACGTGACTCCGTACCAACTTTGGTCACGTCTTACCTTACCGGTAAACTGAAAGTGGATGAATTTATCACGCATCGTTTCAAGTTAGACGAAATCAATAAGGCCTTTGACCATATGCATGACGGCAAAAGGTCAGTTTCTCAGATGCCTGATTGTCGGTTTACCTTCGTTAACAAAAACAGTTTTGAATGATATTGTTGAATAATTTGCAACAAGGTAGCTTGCAGTAAAACTATTTGACGATACTTCGACGGCAACGCCACAGTGGGAGCACCTGTTGGTTCAACTATTTTCGGATATCAGGGTTCTTTGGGAGGCCTAGGAGGCGATATGGCTTAGAGGTTAGAGTGCTAATTTACTGACCGGAAGGTTCGTGATTCGAACCCAACCTGTGCATCTCGGATTCCCCTGTCTAAGCTTGGGCAACATGGCAGTTTCCCAGCCCTCTTGCTTCCTTTGAATGGCATAGCAGCTAGCCACCAGAAGAGTGTTACAGCTGAATCACTGGAAGGTCTATATGGTTGGAAAGATCTGTTCCAAGTCATTATATTCCTCGTCGTATTGTTTCACTTTTTTTTACTGGAAACGGACCTTTTCGATCAAAAGCCCTTGACACTCCCCCAGCATCTGATATTGTTTTTCATCTACGGAGACAGTAGAACACATTTCAGCTGTTCTCGAGCTGCTTTTCCAAATGACTTCCGTGTTCGCGAACTTTGCGCGTTCACTGTATATTGGCCGCTGGTCCATAGAATCACACCAGGAACCACACCGCTTCAAATGATGCAACACAGCCAGTATGGTGGAATGTCTTTAGACCTTGTTATACTTAGTACCTACATAGATGATGGCACTACAGTCCACATTTGTGGATTTGATTGGTCTCCAGTTTGTCTGGATGAATGTTGTGCTCCTTAATCAATTTTCCTCTTTGTGGTAGACAACTACCGGGACTCCCTGTTTATGGTCGTTTCTTATTAGGGACGATTTGATTAAATAAACAGCTATGGTTGTAAAGCAGTTGAGCACTCGTGCCCTCACACCTGTTTTGCTTCCACCGATGATAATGACGTTGATAGTTATTTCTTTCCTTCTTGATTCCCAACCGATAGTGTGCATGTGCATGGTGGATGGTTATATAGTAGCAATCCAAATGAACTCATTTTTGTTTCTTCATCCAACTCGGCCAATTTACTTTTTATGTCTTCTTTAATTGAAGCTGAGTTCCCTTATAAATGTTTGGTGTTTATATTCCCCCTTTTTATCGGTACGTGCATCAGAATGGGACAATGTCTGACGTTCAGCTGGTCGGTTCCAGTTAGGTTGTGTTATGTCAAACCGCAACCCGAAGACTCGATTTTTTAAGTCATCAGCTTTTTGAGTTCGAAGAGGCTCCAGTATTAGCTTGCAAATCTAACCCTGTCTTAATTTTCCCTTCACAGCATCCGATCGATGATTGATTTCCAGTGAACTACAGACCAACTGACAATGGACAGTTTCCTATCTGAAATTCCTACTTTTTTGATCTTTCTGCTATTTTTGGATCCGAACTTTGATAATGTGTGTTCAAATTGGCAGAATTATGCATATTTTTTGTGCTTGACAATCACAAATCTGCACCTGGTAGGCTTCTGTTGATCATTAAAAATTAAAAAGTGATTGAATATCAATGAAACCTTTTTTCCATATCAGCCTGTTGCAGTTGCTGTATAATCCATGCCACTGATAGCCCTTCGTGACCGTTACGGAAAAAGTTCAGTTCCTTTTACAGTAGTTCCTCGAAACACCTTTTTCTATGTCTTCGTTAGCGACTACTCTCTCAATACTACGAGTAGCTTAAATTGAGTCGTGCGCCGAACATACTCCGCTGAACAACAGCAGGGGAAAATGCACAACCTTATTCTGGATGAGGACGGAAATCTTGTCTTCGAGGTTTAAGTTGAGCAAGGGGTTGGTTGTAAACCAAGAGCGCAAAGTTCCAGCCGGTGGGGAGATTGAAACAAGCGGTGATTGGCTATGTCTGCCTACAGATCGCTTTTATATGGGTAGGCTCAAGTATATTGGCTTTCCAACGGTCGCGATAGACTGTTGGATAAGGAGTTATCCAGAGAGATTTAAAGCCAAGAATATGTCCGAACGCCCTATCCTACTACGTATCATGACCGCTGGAAAGAAGCCAGTATACTTGAGTTCACTCCATTGAGGTGGTCTGTTGGCGGTCATAGTCAATCGCCGCTTGTTTCAATGCATTCCAGCTGTTAACTACAAAGCTTGTACTATGTTATGAAGGGTTAGGCTGTCATGGTATCGTGGGATGTATTGGCATGGCGAGGTTGTGTGATTGGATGGTCTGTCAATTTCTGTGTCTCACCCCGAGGTGCTGATATCGGAAGAAGGTAGTTGTCAATGCGGCTGCTGAGTTCGCCGGTTGGGGCTTGTAAACCCCTTTGTGGAAAGGGTCGTTCGAGGTAGGCTGCTCTGATTCACGTGATCAGTCCGTCTCTGTGTGGAACCATCCGGCCTACATCATGGTCGCCATTCTGATGTTCTTACTGCTCTGATTTGATCAGTCCGTCTCTGTGTGGAACCATCCGGCCTACATCATGGTCGCCATTCTGATGTTCTTACCAAGCCCTGAGAATAATTCCAAGCAACCTGGATGGTCAGATGTAGAGGAACTTTGGCTGGTTTTCTGTTCCGTAAGGTACTAGACTCTATCTTGATGTTCCAACGATAGCTTTTGTGTCGCGCGCGTTAACGAAAGACGCGCCGGCCTTCCTGATTCGGGAAAGGATTTCCCCTTTATCATTCAATTCCGACCTACCTAGCTGCCTCCTGTAACCGGCCTATATGCAATTATGGTTGTTCGGTTTGATGTCATCCAGCTTCGCAGCAGTGCCTCCCAATTCCATGATTAAAACGTGCGCCATCCATGTGGCCGAATTATTCCAGGTATTTGGAATAACTTGCACTTCCAAGGGATCTCATCCAGGAAAAACGACTTCGCAAACTTATTCAGCATCAGTCAATGGATACCACAGGAGAATTTCGACCCCCAAGGCATGGAAGTTCGGAAAAACCTATCAGTTAAACAGATCAAACGAAATGATGGTAGAACACAGCCTTGTATGACACCACCGGACGTAGTGAATTCGAGTGGGAGCTCACCAAAGGAACGCACTGGGGCATCCCGTTTGCTTCTCGAGGGGATTTAATTTTTTGGGAGACACATGTAGATGGTATTCTTAGTTAATGGCCCTGGAATGAAGGCCCGCACCTCGGCTGCAAATCATTTCCCTTCGAGTTCTGTCTTCGTTTGTACTGTCCATCATTTTCTGACTGCTGCTTCAAGTTAAAATGATTTCCCCTAATTACATTCGCCTATTAGCTGGAGCACGCAATGATTCGCAGTACTGCACCTTGGAACGAATGCGTTGTCTCGTCCGTCCATTCAATTTGCTTTTCCGTCTGAATCATGGGATATTTTACTCACTGAGGAGCACACAGCCACATTTGGAATACCCCGGCTTGAGTGTATGTACTCTCGAAGCCTATCCGTCATTCAGCAGACTAGCTTACCCAAGACACCGGTGACTTGTGTGCGATTAAATTGCTGTTTTGAAGTAAGTCCGGTGTACGGTTACCTTACCAACACAACCAAGCATGAGGTCATAAGAAAACATAGTTCGTTCCGGAAGAGCATTGAGAGTGCTTGAGACGATAGTATTAGCTGTATTATCTCAGCTGTATTATTTCTCAGTTCTCCGCTCACCAAATATAGCCTATAAGCCAACCAGTTCGATGGAACAATTCGAGAAGAACGGCCACGTAAAAGCTAGTGGGTAGAATCTTAGCAATCGTCTGTTTTTACTTCAAAGGTGAATTGAAATTACAGCCCGAAAGTGACAGAGTTGAGTCTGTCAGACCGACGTTGCTAACCGTAGCTCATAGGCGTGACTTTTACAGGAGGCCGTTTATGAGATAGGTAGGGGCGAGGTGGCTCAGTGGTTAGAGCGCGAATTTACTGGCCGAAAGGTTTGTGGTTCGTACCCGACCTCTGCCTCTCGACTTCCCCTGTCTAGGCTTGGGCAACCTGACTATCCCAGCCCTCGTGATTCCCTCTAATATTATGGCATTTAGGTACCGAAAGAGTGCTACAGTTGAGCGATTTTTTAGTATTGTTTTGGGCGTACGAAATGTGGAAATTGAGCGTTGTATTAATGAGATTCGTGAAGATTAGGGCGTATTTTCATGAGCCCGTTCTTCGCAGTGACCGTGTTTGTTGTATGACATACCACTGATGTGCCCGTGTGAATAATTACCCCTCAGATAGACAATCAGGTTCTTCATACTCGTGTATTCTTTTAAACTGAAAAAACAGCTTCTCGGAAGGCGTGA